GATTTTAAGGATTTTTCAAAATTTAAATGGTTTGGACCGGCCCCGGGCCCCTCCCCAAACCATTTAAGTTTTTAAACATCCTTAAACTCCTTAAAAGCTTTAATGGCCGGCCTTGTAAAATTTTTTTAATGGGTTTTAAAGAATATATGGCTTTTTGAAAATTTAAAAGGCCGATTTAAAAAACTTCGAAGGCCGGTTTAAATTTTTTAAAAGGCCGTAAAATCCTTAAAATCCTTAAGACGCTTAAAATTTTAAATGGCCGGCCTTTAAAAACTTTAAGGATTTTAAGGGTTTTAAGGCTTTTTAAAGATTTAAGAGGCCGATTTAAAAATCTAAAAAGGTCGGTTTAAATTTTTAAAAGGCCGTAAAATCCTTAAAATATTTAAAACCCTTAAAACCCTTAACTTTTGTAATGGCTGGCCTTTTAATATTTTAAGGATTTCAAGGATTTTTAAAGATTTTAGAATATTAAAAAAAACTTAAAGGGTTTGGACCGGCCCCGGGCCCCTCCCCAAACCATTTAAATTTTTATAAATCCTTAAAATCCTTAAGATTTTTAAATGGCCTTCCTTTTAAAATCTGAAGGATTTTAAAGATTTTAAAGAATTTAAAAAATTTAAAAGGGTTTGGACCGGCCGCGGGCCCCTCCCCAAACCATTTAAATTTTTGAAAATCCTGAAAGTCCTTAAAATTTTAAACGGCCGGCTTTTTACAGTTTTGAGGATTTTAAGGATTGTAAGTTTTTTAAAAATATAAAAGGCCGATCAAAAAAATTAAAAGGCAGATTTACATTTTTAAAAGGCCGTAAAATCCTTAACATCCTTAAAACCCTTAAAATTTTAAATGGCCGGCCTTTAAAATTTTAGGGATTTTAAGGGTTTTTAAAGATTTTAAAGAATTTAGACAATTTAAAGGGTTTGGACCGGCCGCGGGCCCCTCCCCAAACCATTTAATTTTTTAAAAATCCTTAAAATCCGTAAAATCCTTAAAAATTTTCATGGCAGGCCTTTTAAAATTCTCAGGATTTTAAGGTTCTTAAGGCTTTTCAACATCTAAAAGGCCGATGTAAAAATTTAAAAGGCCGTAAAATCCTTAAAATCCTTACAACCCTTAACATTTTTAATGGCAGGCCTTTTAAAATTTTTTGAGGAATTTAATGATTTTAAAGATTTTCAAGATTGTAAAAAACTTAAAGGGTTTGGACCGGCCCCGGGCCCCTCCCCAAACCATTTAAATTTTTTAAAAATCCTTAAAACCCTCAACATCCTTAACATTTAAGAATGGCCGGCCTTTCAAAAATCTTTAAGGCTTTTAAGGAGTTTAAGGCTTTTAAGGCTTTTAATAATTCAACAAGGCCGATTAATAAACTTTTAAATGGCCGGCCTTTTAAAATCTTAAGGATTTTAAGGATTTAAGGCTTTTTAAGAATTTAGAAGGCCGATTTAAAAATTTAAAGCGCCGTAAAAGCCTTAAAATCCTGAAAATCCTTAAAATTTTGAATGGCGTCCCCTTTAAAATTTTAAGGATTTTAAGGATCTTACGGAGTTTAAGGCTTTATAAAATTGAAAAGGCCGATTTAGAAACTTAAAAGGCCAAAACCTATCTCTTAATAGCCAAGACAAGTGCCGTACCAAATAGACCCTAAAGGCCCTAAAGGTCTTTCGTACATATATAGAGAGAGAGAGAGATATATATATATATATATTCCGGCGCCGCAGTCGGCTTTCACGACTGGAAGTTCAGGACCCAGGCTCGTGTACTACAACACCGTGAACGCATGAGACGCGAGCTGACTAAGGATCTTCGTATGCCGAACGGCAGAGGCAGGATGGACCAGCTGGTGGTTACTTCCAGATCCTCGGACAGCGTCCCGGAAACTCCGGAGAGGCCGAGAAGTCGCCAGGGAGGACATTGTCCTCAGGCCCAGGCAGACACTGCTGGAGTCCCTGCACAACCTGCAGATACTGCAGAGGCATCGGCTCGTGAGACTCAGATTGACATGAGCGAACGCGCGTCTCGAGTCCTGGAGGGATTGCGCGCAGATGCTTTCCTGATCGCTCGTGACATAGGCTTAGAACGACTAAGCAAACATGATGGCATAGATCATCTGATTGAGGTCATCCAGAAGCACGTTTTCCACGACAAAGGTTCCGAGTTGGACAACAGCGAGATGGACACCGTGCTCTCCTACATTGGTCGTAGGAAGAGATGGTGGATCACATTGCGAGAACTTGACCCCATGAGTCTTACTATCTCTGAACCTACGAGAGCCAATCTATTCCTTGAGTTATCTGGACTAACGAAGTCTGAACAGTTGATGATTAAAGCAGCCGCTAAGGAAGAGACCGTTGAGGAATACGCTCGTGTTCTCACACGACACCATTGTGGGTCAATCTCAGCGAAAGACTTCGCGAGGATTCGTCGAACTCGACGAGAGGGTAACGGTAGAAAGTACCCATGGTATAATTCCTCACAGCCTCGACTCCCATACGCCAGTGCTTCTCCACTCACGAAAGCGAGGTACGGATATCGTTCGTCTGAACATGACTATGATGGTTTTCCTCAAGATGAGACTTGGTGGAATGAGTCTGATGGTTGGAATGGGTAGTAAGCCTTAGCGCAAGCAGATGCAGGCCTAGACTACGCAGAAGCCGTACAACTAGCCTATGCAGCCCGAACAGCCTTCTTCCACTTATCAAAAGGATACACAGGCAAGGGCAAAGGCTTCGGTAAGGGCAAGCTCGTAGAATGGCTGCTTAACGTGAAGTCGAAATGTCTTCGATGTGGCGCGATTGGTCATTGGGCAGGAGATAAAGAATGCCGTTTCAGGAGCAATGAACGACCTCCATCCATTCCCAAGCCTGCGCCGCCTGCTGCGCCAGGCCCCGGAGCTGCCTTCATGGCTGAAACGGCCAACCACGAAGACGTCGAACCTTTCCACTTGAACAGTTGATGAACCGTCGCCCACATGATTCCCAGCTTACACCGCGCAGCAGATTGGTCCTATCGCGACCACAGCCCCAAGGGTCATAGCGCCCGCAACCGCCCGAAAAAGTCGGAGTAATCAAGCCCGTATGTCCGATGCGCCCCCAGTAGGTGCCTCCACTGTTTTCCAATTCGGACGCCGCAAAGGCTTGACTCGGGGCCAGGTCATTCACCACTACCCATCGTATTATAAATGGGGTAGAGAACACAAGGGACCGAGCAAGGGACTCGCAGACTTCGTAGATATCCCAGGCAACAGCATCATTCGCATCCGCGGCGCCGAGATCGCGTATCCTTAAAGACCTTCTTGTTGTCAACATCCATGAAGTTTCTGGTGTCTTCGCTATATTGGACGAAGGACGCAATAGCGCCGTCCATAGTGACGAGTGGGCTAGACGAACTGAGGTAAACTTAGAGTCCTTAGGGTTCTCCTGAAGTTCAAAGGCTTCAAAGGACTTTTCAGGAAGTGCTCATCTCTATTGTCACCGTCGAAGGGAGGAGATTGCCCGGTGTATTGGATTCTCACGAAATCCCTGGACATGCCCCGCTTCGTCTGTCCATCCATGCACAGGCGAAACTTCGCTTAACCAAGATAGTGCATGAAGGTCTTGCGTTCGTGAACCCCCCAACAATCCCGAGCACAGACTCGAGTTGAAGCTGCGTCGTACTCATGATAGCGGATTGTTAGCTATTGACATTTCGTCGGGACTGAGAGACGGCAAGCCGCCTCAATGTGTCAGGGAGTTTGAGTCCGAACCCCCCGCTCAATTTCCAGGTCATGGAACTTGCTTCGTTGGTCATCCCGCCGCTGATTTTTACGATCAAGACGGACATGGAGTTGGAAGCTTTGCGACGGGCCACAGAGCCCAAGACCGGAAAACCAGCCCCGTGCAGCATAAGGGCAAAGGAAGGGGGCCGGTGTAATGGGAAGCTTTATGCGCAGAGTGCCAGGGGACCTACAATCCATGCAGACACGTGCCACGAGCCGTCGTACCGGTGTCCTTAGGGCGGCGCGCCCTCGCCGCCAGAGTCTATCCAACGTCACAGGCGAAAGGCCCTTTCCCGGCACGGCCCAATGAGAATAACCTTTTGCTTGTTTGTTTGTCGTTTGTTTGTCTGACAAGGAGTCGATGTGACTCGGAGATAAGTCGGGTGTCAAATTCCACCTAGTCGAGACCGAACAGTGTACAGCCGAGGTCACATCTCCTAAATTAAACTCGAACTCCTTTAGCGTAGGGCCCAAACCCAACTCCCTTAATCAAAGGGCAGATATTGCACTTCTTTACCTACTCCGCAGGCCTTGAGCTCAGCCTTAAGTGCCAGAAAAGTGTGCTACGCAATTACTGCTCTTCCCCGCTCCCTCAAAACCCTAAAACCTTGAGCCGGGAATTGAAGAAGTTCCTGTGACATGCTACTGCTCCTAGGACCCCTCAAGATTCCCTTGGAGACCATGGTTGAGAGTTTTATTTAGGTTTCTAGGTTTAGGGTTTGTAGTGTTTAGGGTCTAAGGTTGAGAGTTTTGGTTTTACGTAAGAGGCGGTGCGGTTACGGGGTTATGGGGTTATGGTTGTGTAGGGTATCGGAATCATTCGGAGGGTCATTTTGAGACGAAACCTGCTCTCTGTAGAGTTGGCGGGCCCCTAAACCCTCAACCCTAAACCCTAAACCCTCAACCCTAAACCCTCAACCCTCAACCCTCAGCACGAATCCCTTGAACCATCCACGGTGGCGCACCTCATCTGCAACCTCTGCATTAACTCCCAAGCTCGGCTACAACGCTTTGTGGATTCAGACTCGGCACCCTTTTAGCTCTTCCTCGGCATTTAGGAGGGTTTTTGACGGTTTCTTCATCATGGGGCCGCTACGTTTTCAGCCTTTTGTAGTAGAACCATCCTCGACCCGGTTTTTTCCCCCCCAAAAGAGCCCTCGCCGACTCAGAGCGCCACCCCCGAGACGAGACCTGCGCGACCCGTTCCCCCGCATGCACCACCGTGGGGCACCCGGAAATCCGCCAGGAGCTGAGCATGGGCTACTGCTACAAAGTCCCCGCGGAGGCCTGGCGGCAGCTCCGGGACGCGCGCTGGGAGAAGCTGCAAACAGCCGGCTTCTTTTCGTGCCTCGGCAGGGGGGGGGGGGATGTTTGCGGCTTCCCTGCTTTCTGTATGCGTAGAGGTGGCGCTGCATCGGCTGTCGGCCTTTACCACCTGCAAGAACCGCCGGCCGAGGTGTTTCGGCGAATTCTCCCAGGGCGCAGAGGGGGCCGGTGGCCTCCTCGCCGCATTGGCGCGGTGCAGCCAGCTCCAGGACACACGCTGAGCAAAGGGAGGTCCAAGGTCCTGATGGCATAATGCCCTGCATGCCCAGACTCTAAAACACATCAGCTCTAGGGTCCCGAAAGGGCCCTCTTCCCTGTTCTAAAGGAGCTCGCGGAGTGCAAGTTCGAAACAAAAATTGATAATCCTAGGTTGTTTTTGAAGGAGAGACCAGAGGGTACTTCCCAAAAACTTAGTGATACTGCTGGATGTCTCTCGGGCCTATGGCGATCCTATAGTGCAAGGAAACTCGGGGGTTGGAATGAGCGACATCTAATGCGACGATCTAAAGCCCGGCCACCTATAGAATCGCAGCTCGCATCGTGATGAAGATCCTAAAACCCTAAAACCCTAAAACCCTAAAACCCTAAAACCCTAAAACCCTAAAAACCCTAAAACCCTAAAACCCTAAAACCCTAAAACCTTAAAACCCTAAAACCCTAAAACCCTAAAACCCCAAAAACCTAAAACCCTAAAACCCTAAAACCCTAAACCCTAAAACCCTAAAACCCTCAAACCCTCAAACCCTCAAACCCTCAAACCCTCAAACCCTCAAACCCTCAAACCCTCAAACCCTAAAACCCTAAACCCCTAAAACCCTAAAACCCTAAAACCCTAAAACCCTAAGACCCTAAAACCCTAAAACCCCAAAACCCCAAAACCCCAAAACCCTAAAACCCCAAAACCCCAAAACCCTAAAACCCTAAGACCCTAAGACCCTAAGACCCTAAAACCCTAAAACCCTAAAGCCCTAAAACTCTAAAACCCTAAAACCCTAAAACCTTAAAACCCTAAACCCTAGAACCCTGAGCCGGAGGTTGAAGAATTCCTGTGACATGCTTATAGTACGTTTAGGGTCTAGGGTTGAGAGTTTCGGTTTTAAGAGGCTATACGGTTACGGGGTTATAGGGTTCTGGGGCTATAGGGCGAGTTAGGGGTATAGCGGTCATTTTTTATGGTATCGGAATCAATCGGAGCGTCGTTTTGAGACGAAACCTGCTCTCTGTAGAGGTTGGTGGGCCCCTCAACCCTCAACCCTCAGCACGAATCCCTTGAACCATCCACGGTGGCGCACCTCGTCTGCAACCTGCATTAACTCCCAAGCTCGGCTACAACGCTTTGTGGATTCAGCCTGGGCACCCTAAAAGCTCTTCTCACAGAACTCCCTCCAGGCTTTGCAGGCCTTTGGGGCGATGGAGGGGGCTTCACCCTCGGCTTTTTTGGAGGGTTTGATGGTTTCTTCATCATGGGGCCGCTACGCGTTTAAGCCTTCTGTAGTAGAACCTTTTCGACCCGCCTTTGCCCCCAAAAAACGAGCCCTCGCCGACTCAGAGCGCCACCCCCGAGACGAGACCTGCGCGACCCATTCCCCCCCGGCATGCACCTCCGTGGGGCACCCGGGAAACCCGCCAGGAGCTGCACATGCGCGACAGCAACAAAGTCTTCGCGGAGGCTTGGCGGCAGCTCCGGGACGCGCGCTGGGAGAAGCTGCAAACAGCCCGCTTCTCTTCGTTCCTCGGAAGGGAGGGGGGGATGTTGTCGGCTTCCCTGCTTTCTGTATGCGTAGAGGTGGCGCCGCAGGCCTTTACCACCTGGAAGAACCGCCGCCTCAGGTGTTTCGGCGCAGACTCCCGGGGCGCAGAGGGGGCCGGCGGCCTCCTCTCCGCGTTGGCACGGTGCAGCCAGCTCCAGGACACACATGGACACACGCGAGCAAAGGGAGGTCCAAGGTCCTGATGACATAATGCCTTGCATGCCCAGACTCTAAAACATATCAGCTCTAGGGTCCCGAAAGGGCCCTGCTTTAAAGGAGCTCGCGGATTGCAAGTTTTAAGAGGGAGAGATCAGACGAGGGTGCTTCCAGAATCTTATAGTGATACTGCTGGATGTCTCTCGGGCCTACAGTGCAAGGAAACTCGGGGCTGTAATGAGCGACATCTAGTGCGACGATCTAAAGCCCGGCCCCCTATAGAATCGCAGCTCGCATCGTTATGAAGATCCTAAACCCTCAAACCCTCAAACCCTAAAACCCTAAAACCCTGAAACCCTAAACCCCTAAAACCGTAAGCCCTAAAACCGTAAACCCTAAAACCCTAACCCTAAAACCCTGAGCCGGGGGTTGAAGAAGTTCCTGTGACATGCAACTGCTCTAGGACCCCGGTTGAGAGTTTTGGTTTCTAGGTTTAGGGTTTATAGTGTTTAGGGTTTAGGGTTGAGAGTTTTGGTTTATCTGGCTATACGATTACGTGGGTTATAGGGTTCTGGGGCTATAGGGCGAGTTAGGGGTATAGCGGTCATTTTTTATGGTATCGGAATCAATCGGAGCGTCGTTTTGAGACGAAACCTGCTCTCTGTAGAGGTTGGTGGGCCCCTCAACCCTCAACCCTCAACCCTCAGCACGAATCCCTTGAACCATCCACGGTGGCGCACCTCGTCTGCAACCTGCATTAACTCCCAAGCTCGGCTACAACGCTTTGTGGATTCAGCCTGGGCACCCTAAAAGCTCTTCTCACAGAACTCCTCCAGGCTTTTCAGGCCTTCGGGGCGATGGAGGGGGCTTCACCCTCGGCTTTTTTGGAGGGTTTGATGGTTTCTTCATCATGGGGCCGCTACGTTTTTAAGCCTTCTGTAGTAGAACCTTTTCGACCCGCCTTTGCCCCTCAAAACTAGAGCCCTCGCCGACTCAGAGCGCCACCCCCGAGACGAGACCTGCGCGACCCATTCCCCCCCGGCATGCACCTCCGTGGGGCACCCGGGAAACCCGCCAGGAGCTGGACATGCAGTTCTGCGAGAAAGTCCCCGCGGAGGCCTGGCGGCAGCTCCGGGACGCGCGCTGGGAGAAGCTGAAGACGGCCGACTTCTATCAGTGCCTCGGAAGGAGGGCGCGGACTTTTCGGCTTCCCTGCTTTCTGTATGCGTAGAGGTGGCGCCGCGTCGGCTGTCCCCCCTCCACAATGGGGCGTTTCCCACCTGGAAGAACCGCCGGCCCAGGTGTTTCGGCGAAGACTCCCAGGGCGCAGAGGGGGCCGATATGCTCCTCGCCGCGTTGGCGCGGTGCAGCGAGCTGCAGGACACAATCACGGCAAAGGTCTTGTTCAGGCCTTTGGATTCAGACTCGGCCCTTAACGCGACTTGCGCCGATCAGGCCCTTTAGCGGCTTAAGCGGGGCACACAGAGGACCGTTTTCCATTTTGGCAATGGAACACTATAGCACGTTCATGACGAAGTCGAGGCACTGCAGCACCGCCAATCTTCACTTAATACGGAAGATCTCCTCGAACCTTGACTGGTAAAAGAAACTCAATTCCAAATGAGACCTTCCGTAGTTGAGCCCGTTTCGAGTTAAGGGGCTTTGAGGCGATGAGTTGTGGTCCGCTTGTTGTCATGGTGTGTGGGGGTGCCCTCTTCGAGCCGTTTCGTATATAAGCACCTCCCAGTCCCTTGGAACCCGGGGGCCGCTGCGCCGCTGAGCGGAGTTTGGCAGAGCTTCTCGCTTTCTTTTGTCGCCAGGAGCTCGACATGGGTTATTGCGACCGCATCCCTGCCGAAGCGTGGGAGCAGCTGAGCGACGGCGTGTGGCCAGCTCTTCGAAGACACAGGGGCGTCCCAGAGAGACTTTTCCGGCGTGCGTGAAGTGGCAGCGCTGCCCCTGCAAAGCCTGCTTGAGTCGGGCCTGGCATATGTCATCTATAGGTGGAGCACAGGTACTTGCGCTTACCAAGATCGAACTCAAGCATGGTTGCATGATTCCCGACATGGAACGGAGCTTGGTCTTTTGTAGGCGTTCGGTTTCAGGTTGATTCGAGTTGAAGTTCGAGTGCGCGTAGGTTTCACGTGCTTCATCTCGACTCGGGATTGCTGGACTTTTAGGACTATACGCAGGGACTACGGTCGAGCTTGACAGAATGTGAGTCGTGGCAGCTGTGATTCCACATGCGGACCTGCGCAGACCTTGGATATCAGACCCTGCAAGAAAAGCAGGGCACGTTTCGTCAGGCCTCGTGTTGTACAAAGGAATGGCCGGACTGCAAAGCAGCTGCCAAAAAAGGCAGGGCGTGCGCAAGGTTCTCCAAACAACTTGCTGACCACACAGCCACAGCATCCCGTACATCAGTAGCAAAGCACAATGCCAGCCCGCAGCTTACAAGGTTGGAGCTGTGTGCCATGTGTATAATCAGTTTGAACCGATCAAAGCACCATCACTATCGGTTTGTGAGCTTCATGCACAGAGCAGGAGGCACGATCGTCTGCCTGCCTGGTGGCTTAAAGCGCCCAACAGAAGTCGCCGGTGATTCTAGGATACAGACTTTGCCTGCTCAAACTATCCTTTTGTTGCAGTGATCCACCACCATCGCGGATGATTCGATCTGTGGCTTGCTAGGCATTCTCGGGCGTACTTCAGTGTGAAGGTGCTATGTGCAGCGCATCCGCATTGGCTCTTTGTGATTCTAGGGCACGGATCATGCACCCATGAGCAGATTTCCGGAAGCCGAACATTAAAGCTTCAACTCCACATGCAGCCCACGCCCCATGCGGATCAGCCCTTTTCTTTCCAACGATTCCTGAAACCATGTGCTTGAGCTTCAAGCTTCAGAGGATCATGCTCGATGTTGCCTTGGCATGTTGAATGTACAACGGGCTAGACTCTGTTGCGGCTGCTGTTCTGTTCAGGCCTAGACCCTCACACATTCCCACTTGTTTGCTTGCTTCTTTGCATCAGCCCGTTTTGTGTTCAGCGTGGTTTCAAGACATGGGAGCCTCAGCTGACGCAAGGGCCCTCAGCCATGTCCAACGCCGCCAACGCCGCCAACGCCTGGAGAGGCTCGGAGCGAGATTTTTCTAAAGCTCTTCCAGCAGGTCGTCTAAGCTGCAAGTGTGCAAATGGGCGCATGGTTGGCAAAGCGTCTGCAATGTCTGCACTCTCTGGCGCCAGGCCGATGCCTCCAGGCTGCGCGGGGGCCATCGGGGCCACGGGCCTCGCAGAGGGTTGCA